TAAGATCAAAATATGCACTTATATTAAACTTTGGTTATAAAACAATAATTATTATCTATTCTATTGTGAAGAAGAGTTATCATAACATAATGACACTTAATGTATATTCAATTGGTTTTGCGGAAAGTAATCACAAAAAGGTGTATATATTTTAGATGAGGACAACTATCGATAAATAGTTTACAAGGATTACAAATGCTTCTCAGGAGGCATAAGTGACTTTATTTTGAATAATCTAAATGCACATGTGCTAATTCACTAACTAACCAATTCACTCGTATGCACAATAAATGAGTATTTGATTAAAATTAAGACTATATTTGATATTTATAATACCATTATTAAAAGTATAAGGCGACGATATTATAATCAACTACTTTATAAATTATTTCCATACCGTTTTTACCATCAAGTAAAGTCTGATTAGACACCTTAATCATTATCATTAGTTTATCCATGGTATATTTTAGTATATAAAATTGTTTCATAAAATAAACTGAATTTAAATAAATGAATAGTTTGATATGCGTTAAAACTCTTGACAATTTTTCTCTTTACAAATAATTAAATTTATAAATCAATTAAAATACAAACAAAATTCGTCTAAAAAATAAACATAAGGACCTTTACCTTAATATTTTGAACAATCAATCAGTTTAATGTAAATTATATTTAATACGACAATAATTTTAAAACGTTTTGCAAATTCTTGTGAATGGTCAAATAATTTCGCACTATTATTCACATATTTATTTATAGAATATGGTAATTATTAACGGACAATTCTTAATAAATATAAGCATGATCATCATTTTTAAAAATTAATTTGATTATGTCATTACTTTAAAAATTCGTTGTGTAATTGTAACTTATCCTGTTTATTAATGATATTGATTAATAATGCATCCATAATAATATCTAGTAATTGATTGATAATAATATAAATGCATTTGATTTGGATATTTCCACAAACGCCTCTTCAAAATATACTATATTTGCGATAAATATGTTTAAAAACATATTCTCAGAGTTTTATTTCCGTCCAAATCATTCATGCATTTCAGAGATGCTTAACATTTTCAAAGTTAAAAACATTATTACAAATTGCATTTAAAGACTAACTAATATATCGTGTATTACTATAATTTGCATTTATAAAAATAAATTTAAATGCAGTATTAAAACTAACTCACTTGTCAGATATATCAACATAAAAATATAATTAAACATTATGAAACGGTATTTACAGAATTGCATACAATGCTTTGATTAATTAGCCTGAGCATTTATGATTGCTTACTTATTTAGAAAATATTGATTTTCTCACTAATAAAATTGAAATATTTTCTATCATAATCAATGAAATAAATGCCAGACAATCCATATTATTTAGATTATTATGACAGAGTTGAGTACCTTAATCAATTCAATTATCCAAGATCATTCACACAACTATTTTATTTAACAGTACAATGATTCGATTACATTATTTAAATGCATATACATTTATAATAGTTTAATATAGTTTTATAATTTAATTAAAATATAATATAAAATATAATATAATTGTATTATTAACATTCTGGTGTAAAATAAAATATTATTATTCATATATCAACATAGTTTAATTTTATACCACAGGTGATTTTTCACTACATATCAAATATCGAGTATACATTGCATAAGAAATTCATACATGTATTACATAACAAGTAGAGTAAATACATTAACAGTAACAAGAGTGCAATCTATGTTACTTTATATAAAATAAGGTGATGTGCGGCGAATGAATCACACAATCCATAAAAGTGTTGCTCAGATATTAACGACACAAATGATTATTGTTAGGCAACACCTGACCGCCCAATACAACGCCGGGAAACCACCCATTATTACATACCATACCTTACACTCCCACACGTCATACCCTATTGTACTGTATATACAATTTCAATAGCAAAGGGAAATAAAAAAAAATTAAATAAACAAAATGAGTAATAAATGTATACTATGTCTATCAATACACGAATGCAATAATAATAGCAAATATCAGCTAAATTCATGAATATCAGCGATAATCAAAGTCACACCACAATTGATGATAATATAATATATGCTATACTCTAATGCCGTAAATATTTAATTACACGTTGAATATAATATGTTTGTACATATTATTGAAAAACTAAACACATTTGTTATGTTAGTGTATATGTAATGTATCGTACGATTTGAATAAATAAAACATATTTAATTAATAGATTTCCTCTTGCGTTAATTTGTTATAAAATTACATTTTCTAATATATTATTTCAGCTGCAGTTATCCTGTTCATATTTTGTATATATGTTGGTGCTTAATAGTATGCGGTGGATTTAGTTGTTAATTTTTATTTCACCGGTTTCATTTTTCTCGGTATACATAAGTGCAAAAATATTATTATTGAGTTATAATTGTCAACAAAAATATTTTCAAAAAGTAATTTATTAAATAAATAGTTTGTATCGACTGTTTTGATCAATAGTGAAATCATATTTATTATAAATAAGAGTTTTAATTACCAATTATTGCCATAAAAAGTTCACGGATTAAGTTTTTATATAATTTGTCTACAGATTTATTGGCAAAGAATACAGGTTTGGAAATATTTTTTATCTAATTTTTAAAAATATCTTATATTTATATTAATTATTTAAAATATTAATAAATGTCTATAAATAAAATATATTTCAAATGCTTTTATCTCTGCGTCTAATCCGAGACGAAATGAAAAATTTGAAACCAAAACAAAGCCTTGAATTAAAATTCATTGATATATCGGAAAGAATAACGTTAGAGGAAAAAACTTAATGATTATATAAAACATAATTTTTACATTAAAAATAAAAACCTAGTAAATGGAAAATACGTTAATTATTCTATTGACAGTCTATCCCTATATCTAACCTCCCATTTAGTCGCATGTTTTGACTTATATTTGTCATAATTTCTTAGATAAACACAAAGAAATGCTATAAATAGTTATCAATTAAATCAGAAATTATTTTTTTAATTGAATCCATCAAAGTATTGCCAATTCTCTCTCTCTCTCTCTCTCTCTCTCTCTCTCTCTC